ACATTTCAGTTTCACTTATTTACCTGAAATAAATAAAAGCATCAATTATAGTCTATAAATTATGTGTTTTTTAACTACAACTTATAATCATAGGCATAATACCGTGTAGGCATAATACAATTAATAAGCCGAATTTAAAAAACTGGGCTGCTTTATTCTGTATGCTGAATCTGCGATTAAAGTCTGCGCACGCCTACGGTTATAATAACTACCTGTCTACCTACTTACTTATGGTAACTATTACTAACTCCTGACCGCTGAACCATCGTGAATAAACCGCTGTGGAGTGCTGCTGCACTCGCGTCTCGCTGAGGCGTTCATGACTCCAAGAGACCAGTAACAACATTACAGTGTCACGTTTGTTGACCAGTCTCCGCTCTCTGCTCTCCAGTAGTCCAGTGCGTGTGTGTTGTGAGTAGGTATTAACTATTAACCTGCGAAGTGCGAGTTTGTAATCATAGGCGTATCTAACGTCAACGTGTATAATAATTAATAATGTCATGGTATATACTTACCTACGTTTGGTTGTAGTCCAGTCCGATATTACATTATTACAATTTACAGTAGTTATGAGTTATTGAGTTATGACTTATGCTGCCATGGTGGTAAAAACTACAATTTCTCCGCCGAATGCCCGCATGGAACATAACCAAAGTTCTTTGCTTATCTAATCAAATCTAGAATATTATATAAAATTATTATCATGGACAAAAAAATATCATACCGTTTGACTTGGAATAAACGACAAATAACATCATCACTGGCCGCCAGATTTATTTTTTTTATATTTCTTACTAATCATTATAGGGCTCGGAAGTTGATGACCTTAAAAACAATAAAAAATGACCATAAAAATGGCAAAAAATGTCCTAAAAAAAATACAAAAATTAGTTTTATATTAATAAAAATAAATTTTTTTTAAATATTTTACTCTATTTTACTATAAAATTCAAAATATGACATAAAAATGACAAATGTGAGTCAGAGTAAATTCGTCATAGTATGACCCTATTTTAAGACTGTATGATAATTTATGGGGCCATAACAAAGTTACGGCCATATTCAAAAATTGCTCAAATTATCAATTTGCAATTGATGCAATACCTAAACATACCTATTGGCTTATTTCACCTATTAGATGAGGTCGCCTGAGTTCGGACAAATTGCACGGTCGATTTTCAACCTTATAAGCATCATATGTCCACTAGACATTTAAAGCATTATGAAAATAGACATTCATAATGCATACGATAAAACGAATGTCTTACCTTTTTTTATGTGTTTGGTACATTTTTTAAGACATTTTTATTTAAATGTAACTATTTTTAACAATAATTATTATTTTAAATAGTGTATAATAGTATTTATGAATTAATTTATAGAACAACCATTAGCAATGATTTAAATAGCTCCATCTGTAGAAAAATATTGTATTCTTTTTTATATGCATAACAACTAATGAGTATAAAAAAAATAGACGATTGTCGTAATCGGTTTTATTTATAGTTCAAAAATCATAACATAGGTGGCTCATGTTAATTAAGAACGATGTACATTATTCATAATCCTATACTAAACCAATTACCAATACTAAAATACATCGTAATACTAATTCAAAAATTTAACAATAGCACCTTAACTTAAAAATATTAACGTTAATATTTTAAAGTGATAACACTGATAAAAGTATAATATAATAGAAAGCGTATAGAGTATTTTCTACAGGGCACATATGATTTTTAATTTCGTCGCTTAAAACAAAAAAAAATCACAAAATCTTGGGAAAATTAGTCAAATTCAACATCGTATTATAATGTGGTTTAATAGAATTTTAAAAATCCAAGTTCAATGCGCCCTGTAAGTAATGTTTCTTTCAAAAAAAAAAAAAATTATCGAAATCGGATCATGGAGGCTTACAGGAAAAAATTCTTTCTACAGGTCACGAGCAAAACAGGCCTCTTATACTGAATTCGTTCCGATATTTCATATTCACAATCTGTTAGTCATCTTTTAATTCTCTAGGGAGACCAATGTTAAATAAACATATTATAGGTTTTATAAAAAACTTTATTGTAAAAAAAATACTGTTCATATTAATTAATATTGAAATAATATAGACTCTAGTACCTATGGTGGTGTTGGGATATTTTGTTCCGCGGATATTTTGTTCCGCAGAATAATTTGTTCCCTTTTGAGATATTTTGTTCCCTTTTTGGATTTTTTGTTCTTCTCTGGAGACATTTTGATCCTTTTTAATATTTTAACAAAAATAAAGTAAGATTTTTTGTTCCTTTCTTTAACAATCAAAAGTGGAAAAAAAAATCCTAAAACGGAACAAAATGTCCTAGTGGGATATTTTGTTCCGCGGGGATATTTTGTTCCTCTCGGTGGACTTTTTGTTTCTCTTTGTGAATAATGTGATCTTTTCAAAAACATTAATGGTGGAACAAAAAATCCTAAAATGGAACAAAATGTCCTAGTGGGATATTTTGTTCTGCGGGGATATTTTGTTCCTCTCGGTGGACTTTTTGTTCCGTTTTGTGGATAATTTAATCCTTATATAAAATTTAAAATCAGAACAAAATATTTAAAAAAAAATATGTAATATGAAAGTTATATACTCTGAAAGTATTCAAAACACTAAATAAGTTTAAATTGGAATACTATACAATCATATGCTAACACGTTTTAAGTCTTAAGTATTATTCACGTCTTTAATCGCCACTCGTTATTAGTCGGCCGTGTGTACATATTATATTTTAGTGGTTAAAACGTAAGTCCCACAAGGGAGAGTAAAACATTGTAAGTCCAATTGAAAAATAAAAACAAGTTGGTAAATAGTAAAATTTTTTACTTTTAATTAAATTGTATTTATCTTTAGGGGAACTTGTTTAAATTTTTAAATTTGATTATATACATTTTTTGGTTTGAATAAATAATAAATTATCCTTTATTAAAATTTAAAAACGCATGGATATATTCGGTCTCAAGAGAAAATATTATATTAGACTGTGAGGAAGCAAAAGCAAGTATGAAAATTAATTTAACAGGGACAGGGATAATTTCAATAAGGGAGGATTGTAGGATTTTTACATCTGATTCAGTCCTAATACCAATAAAACATTTGTCAACTAATAGGAATATAGATATAGTGCCGTGGTCTAAAATACCAAAAACATTATTCAACATTAAAAATTATACAAAACTCGAAGATTTAAAATTGGAAAAATCACGCGAAAATGTATATAAATCTACTAATGATATATCACAATCGCTAGATGAGATAGACAATTTAATAGATATAGAAATTAGATATAAGGAGAAGGAAATTATACGAACTATATACCAATATTTATATTATATAATTGCATTTGTAATACTAATATTAAGCTATTATATATATAAAAATTGTAAAACTAATAATAGAAGTAACATACATATAGTTAACAGGAGAGAATTAATACCAATAACCACTAGAGTTTAAGAAAATTGTAAGGGCGAAAGATTATTCTTATTGAAGTATAATCCTTCGTCTGGTAGGGGAGGTGTAGAAGACCACCTACGTAGTTGTATTATTATTAACACGTAGTACTAATCAATACTTTATATTCAATGAACGGATATCAGGGTTATACAAATGATTGTGAAATTGTACAAAACATTATAGTCATAAGGAAAGTAACACAAGTATGTAATGCGAATATAAACTGTTTAATTATTATATGAATTCGGATATATAAGTACATTGTAAAGGGCAGTAGATCGAACAGTCTTATAACAAGCGTATGACTCGTACCTTATCATTGTCGATATGTGTGTGTGTTTATTTTAAAATAGACTTAATTAATTAACTAATTGTTATTTATTTTTGAGTTACCTTCACTTTCTACAAAAACTCGTTGTAAGCCTACCTGGCTTATAACATAAGTATGGATATGTCATATGTGAACGCAATAGCTGAAGGTTTCAAATGAAGTGCAGAAATACATGGTCTTAAATTCAATACATTTTTTGTAAATATGTATTTAAATTGTACATTAAATAAACACATATAATGAACAATACTCGATAATACTAGAATTCTAAATACCCTATATTACTGGTATGAATATAGGTAAAAACATAGGTGCAACTAGGAACATTTTTTGTTGGTGCTGAAATTGTATCAGCACCACAACACCTAATAATTAAAATTTTAAACTCCTAATCACTCTTATTAGTATTAACTTTTAAAAATGGTTCAATATTATGTAAGAAAGTCTTGTCGAAAAAATTGGTGTGTAGATAAATTATGATGTGTGATTAAATATGTTATTTATAATAATTTAAGTTACATATTAAAGAGCTGTCAAAGAACATAAAGTACCATACACTATACCTAAATTATATTATGTCAGGACTCAGGAGAGTGAAGAAAAAATAAATACAATGATGTGATCTTACCTCTAACAAAAAGCATGTACCCATTATAGGTACCTACTTGAATAAAAACAATTATTTACCAAATTTTAAATAAAAGTTAATTTACACAACTATAAATACAATATAATTTAATAAACAATCTTTAAGGATTTTAAACTATATTATATCCGTGCAAAACCGATACAATGTTAAAAATAGTTTATGGCTTGTTCAAAAAAAAAAATATGAATGATATTCACTGTATTATAATTAAATATTGAAAACAAGAAGTTACTTAATACAACTGTGAAAATAGATTAAGTAATTTTAAGATCTTGATTAATTATGAAAGTATTAATTTTTTTCATTTGGTTTGATTTGCTTTGCTTTGTTAGAGTAGGTACTCTGTTTCAAGCATTTTGCTTCTTACAGAGAGGTGGAAGTACTGAATTGAGAGTGGTGAGTTTAGGCTTAAAGATTAGCTATTATTGAGAAAGTGGTTTTTTAATGAAGTGCTCATTGGGTGAGTTTTTGGAGAGTATGTCGGAGATGTGCTTGAAGCTTGAGTTTTTGATGCGTTGAGTAAGTGAAACTTTGTTTTATGATAAGTGATCTTTTAGTGATGGAATCTTTAAGGATGCTCTGATGGTATCGTTGGAGACATACCAGTCCAGTCCAGTAATTTGACGCAGGGTAGTAGACTGAACTGCCTCTAGTTTTGTGAATAAAAATGGTAAAACGTTACTGTATTGTATACCATGAATGGTATATAGTTGGTAAAAAATAGATGGTGCACTAGAGAATGTACCATCTGCATACCAATTGTTACAATTAGTCATCAAATTTAAATTTTCTTCTATCGAATAAATTAAAATTCGTGGTTTTCCTGATTTTTCATCGTTACTGTCATATAACAAAAATGGCTTACCATCAATTGTTGTTTTGTACTCCGCAGGAATTACTAGCTCATCTAATGTTCTAGGATTTGCTGGTGCCATAATTTCTTTTTGACGAATACGTTGTATCGTTTTTTTCATTGAAGAAATTCCAGGTAATTTACTTGCAACAGATTCAGTTACCTATATGATAATTTAAACGATTATTCATATATTTTTATAATTAAAAACTTAAAATTTTTATTTATAATTAATAACTTTTATTAGTTTAAAATAATTTAAATTAATTACCTCTTTCGACATAGTACTCAAAACTACTTGTGAACTCTGTTTCTTTTGCTATTTTTTTCATATTTTCAATAGCCTGTTTTGCTTCAATTTTTGAACGATCCGGCCGATGGTTATGTTCACGCTTACTTTCTTTTGTTACTTCTCCCTTTTCTACATGTACTCGACCCGGACATTTTATTTTCATTACAGCGCCAAATTGTTTTTTCATTAGTTGTGCGTTCTAATTTGTATAAATATCATTTAAAAATTAGCAGGCCTCGATTCTTTTCACTTTTAACGAATTCACACATTGTAAAAAGAAATATTTCATATAACACAAATTATTTAGCGCTTAATTGTGTTACCAGCGCATGAACGTGATATACTAAATAAGTATAAAAACTCGTTTTGTTAGATTATAAATTCTTATCCGTGTTATATGTATTGTAATTGGGAATTTTGGCAATAATATTGATAAGTACAATAGAACACTGATTATCCGAACGCCTATTAACCGGACGGGAAAAAAATAATAATAATTATAAAAATTAAATTAAATATTTTTAATTGCAGTGAACAACTGTGGATATTTAAAAAGACTAAAATATCATCATTTTTCAAACCTTAGTCCATCTATTGATACTCGCTCCTAATTGTCTTGAACCCAATTGTCATTGCGCCCAAAAGTCCCGAACCCAATTTTCCGCGCCAATTGTTTGAACCCAAGTGTCAGCATACCGTTATGGAATATTTTAGAGAGACTTCGTTAAATACATATGGATTAGATCCAGTTGTGAATTATACTACACCCGGATTTGTTTGGAGTTGTATGTTAAAAACTACAAAACAAAAAATTGAATTAATTACTGATGTAGATATCCTTTTAATGTTTGAAAGGGCTAAACGAGGTGGTTTACCCCAGTGTTCAAATAGATATAGTGAAGCAAATAATAAATATATGGGATTAAAAATTTGATAAAAATAAAGATTCAGCATATATACAGTATTTAGATGCAAATAACTTATATGGGTATGCTATGTCACAATATTTACCTTATGGTGGTTTTGATTGGGTAAATCCAGATTTTTTTGATGAGGATAGGATTTTAGGAATGAAGTAAAAACAGGAAATAGGTTACCTTTTTGAAGTAGATTTAATTTATCCAGAAGAACTTCATAAGAAACATAATGATCTACCATATTGTCCAGAAAACATATTTGATGGTAAAAAGTTACCAAAATTATGAACAACACTATATGATAAAAAGAATTATGTTATTCATTATTTAAATTTACAGCAAGCTTTGAAGGCAGGTTTAAAATTAGGAAAAATGCATAATGTTGTTAAATTATATCAGTCAGATTGGATGCGAGTATATACTGAAAAAAATACAAATTTAAGAAAGAAAGCAAAAAATGAGAAAATGTTTTATAAATTAATGAATAATTCTGTTTTTGGTAGAACAATGATGAATGTAAGAAAACATGTGGATATAAAATTAATATCTGAACCTGACAAATATACAAAATATGTTTCTAAACCGAATTTTAAAAAATTTTCATTTTTTGTTAAAAATTTTTCTGCTGTTGAAATGAACAGAACAGAGATTAATTTTAACCAACCTATCTATTTAGGTGTATGTATTTTGGAGATCTCAAAGTTTTTAATGTATGATTATTTTTATAAACTGAAAGAAATATATGGAGATAACATTAAATTATAATATGGTGACACTGATTCATAAATGAGTGAAATTAAACACTAGATTTATATGAGGATATGAAAGCAAATATTGATGAATATGATGCATATGGTTATGATAATGATAATGTTTATGGTATACCTCGAATTAATAATAAAGTAATGGGAAAGTTTAAGGATTAAATTAATGGAAGATTATTGAAAGTTTTATTTAACTTGCTTCAAAGTCTTATTCGATTAAATTATTTGCTTCAAATAAAGGTATTAGGAAAGCTAAAGGAGTAGAAAAAAATATAGTTTAAATGTTATAACATATTATGATGATTATAAGTTACGTTTAGAAAATAATATATGTAAAAATGTAGAACAGATAATGATACGTGGTGAAAAACATGAAATTAATACTAAAATAGGATTAAACTGGTTTGATGATAAAAGACATTTAATTGATAGAAAAACAGATACATTGGCATGGGGCCATAAGAATATAGGAATAAATAGAGCGGATTTTCTTAATCACTTAAAGATTATTATTATTTAGGTTATTTTTTTATTTATTTGATTCTTTTTAACGTAGAATTTATAACTCTTTTAAAATTATTTAAAATTATCTAATATTAGTTAAAAAGTAACTAAAAACTATTTATTATCGCCACAATCTAAATATCCAAGATTAACTTTTAATTTCAATTGTGCGTTTATTGATTATCTATTGATAACCAATGTTATTACATGCACAGAATTAAAATTAAACGGAAATCTTAAACTTTATGCTGCAATTATAAACTTCATTAAAAACTATTTAAAATTATCTAATGTGACATGGTTGGATTAAATATATAAATATAAAATCGTGTCCCTTTTTGAGTTACTTGTTAAATATAGAATTTATTAGAATTTATGAGATTTTACAAAGAATCTGACACGTGCCCGAATCTATGTTTTTAGAATTAAATATGCAACAAAGCATTACATATTATTTTATTACCATCTTGACCGGTGATAAATAATTTAATATGTTTAAAATCTATTACATTTAGAGGAATATATTTAATGTCATTAGAGTGATTTTTTTATCATTGAACACTCATTATTTCAAAAGTATTGATTTTTTTTAAAAATAATTTTAGTCTCATGCTTTTCTATAGTTGTATACATTTTTAATATTTTTTGCCCTTATGTTAATATTAGGTAAACCACCATCGACTTTTGATTTTCAAATGACAACCTATATAAATAATTTCATAAATGAATAAAGCTATTTTTTTCATGAATTTTAACGTTTACATTTTCAACTTTCGTTAACTCGTTGCCGAGTTATAGCTGCTCAAAGTTGGGTGGTTTTGGAAGGTTATTGTGTGTAAATGTGTTATACCTTGTCAGTTTAATAGATCCCCCGCCATCAGGATTTTTATATCCCAATTCAAAAGATATTACACTTTTGAAATAAATTCAAATAGTACAGTAAGCTAAAGTTGTGCCCCTAAATGTATTGTATAATGTATAATACACATTTGACTGGGTGTCGCGCGGTTCACCCTACTGAAGGTGATCTCGCTACCGGTCATAATAATACTTATCAAATATAAAGACCAGAAGTTAAAAGTAATAAATTCGATATCGTTCGACGTTCGAACCCAACAGGTATTATAGCGATAAGCATCGTAACTACTCGCTAGTCGCTACTATGAACTAAGATATACAGGACTGGACACAGAGCCTTATCAGCCGGTCAGACAATGTTACGCATTGTACCTTTAAGCGATACCTACGCTATCTAGTGACGAATTAATTTACTACATTATTATTACAGCTCGGAATTTAACGCACTTTCATATAATATTTTATTTTATTTACTTAAAAAGAAATGTATTTAGTTACTAGTTATATCTACTTTTCATTATATAAGACACAACTTTAAATATTTGTTATGAGTATTGTTACATGCGGCCCTACAGTTCTTCTTTGTTGACGGTAGCCTTTGATGGTTGCCCCCTTTGTAGAATCCAATACCGACTGCGCCAGTGTTACATGCGGCCCTTCAGGGATCCAAAGGCTGTCGTACTTTTACAATAAAATATAGTCAATTTAAATTATGAATCAATTGTACTTTATTAAAACCAATAATAAATAATGTAGTTGTGGTGAATTGCAGCGTCGTGAGTTGACTCGTTGTAGTAGTCGATAATCTCCATGTAAGTCGTGTGTAATGGCTGGTGGTTAAGCGGCTCGCTCGGTCTTGGCGGCTCTGGTACATCTAATTCGTATTGGAGCACTAGCCTCTATATATACGAATATACGAAGGCGACGCCCTTTGAATTGAGCGGCGCGTGGCATGTAGGCGCCCTTGGGAAGTTGTTGTGATCCGAAGCGTCTATTCTATCTATGACCACTTTTGGGTGCGGTCGACGAGGCCGCTTTCTACATAAGTAGTACTTGTTAATGTGAGCGTTGTACATGAATTGCGTAATCCCATTACACCTCCCCACCAAAAAAAGATTGTTAACCTTAAGGTTAGATCTTAACAATCATAGTTAAGTTAATTAATCACAATAGTTGATTTACAATCTGACATACATTTGATTACAATTGTTATAATAGTTTACAATTTTGATATTACAGTGTAGACATTACAATTTTTAAGTGCCATACATAATTACTGTTACATATTTTTTTATATATATTAAAAGTTATATATCGTGGTTAGTACAGTGTTACTAAGAACAAATACATAAATTACTAAATAACTAGTGTTAGTAAGAAGGAGCAATAGTCCTTCAAAAATAATAAATAGTATTGTACCTGAAATTACAATATTAAAAGTGTAAGTATATAATGTAAGTATATAATGTAAGTGTATAGTGTAAATATTTTCCCTTGATTACAATAATAATAATTATTATCTTCCACCAATTAAATATTATACTAAATCTATATGAATAATTATTAAAATTGTCATACACATATGCAACCATAAATTTTTGTTTACTTAAAATCTACTTTAAATTATGTGTTTACCTTTCTCGTTAATTTATATATATATATATATGGGTCTTATTTTTGAAACTACATAATTGAATAGACATTTTGTTAAGATTACGTAACACGTAATATTATGATTAATATCGCTCATTAATCCATGCGCTTCCGATAATCTTAACATTCTGATCTTTTTTTTTTAATTTTCCTAAATACACTGAATATAAACTTCTTTAGCTTCTAAATTCTAAATTAAATTCATCATTATTTTTAATACTATACGCTGATATATTTAAAAATGCTAAAATACCCTTTATTCTTAATCGATTAATTAATGTTATATCCGTCGTTCCATTCCAGAAAACCATTACTGGATCCCTATTGTCTATGTGCAAATATCTTGCAAGTAAACCGTTGACAAGGTTGATCCCCCCTGGTGGCTTACATTTTTGTATAATTGGTCCAACAGTGGTGTAATCACGCTTGCCTTTTTCCCTCGGAATACCCGTTTGATTGTTTGCACAATATCCTTAAGATCGCAACGCCGGAATTTCCTTAACTTATTTTCGTAAGTATTAGAGTACCTCCTTCCAATTTCTTAGGCTGGTATTTTCAAAACTATTCGAAATCGTTCCGGATACCAATAATGTTTCGTTTTTACCGGCCGTAAGGAATTCGAAATCTACTATGAAAAAAACGGATCTGTGAGCTAAAATAAAATGTATTACTTAAGGTCAGTAACACTATAATTTAATAATATTATTATATATTTATATTTTTTATTTCTTGTAACTATTCTTCGTTTATCGGTTCGATTGCCACGCCTCTTGCTATAAATCGTTCTAGCAATAAACCTATTTCTACACATATGGGTCTGTTGTGGTCCGATCGTTCAACTACCGCGCGTACAAAATCGTTCACATGTACCATAACTTGTTCTAAGACAAGTGGTCTAAAGGGGTGTGTCATATTTTCACTTGCCCTTCTTATGTGCCTTCTTAAACAGTGTAAGGTCACTGTTTCCCCACGAACAATTTGAGTATGGTGTGCTGTTAATAATTCTGCTCTAAGTTCTCGAAAGAATTCCAGTGTTTGTAGTGTCAGTTGAACTGAGCGTGGTGGAGGTGGTATGTTTATACTCATTTCTTATATTTTTATTTCTACGTGTATTTTAAATATTTGTTTCTTCTTCTTATATTCTGAAATAGTTAAAAGTTATTTGTTATATAATTTGTTACATTTGTGATTATTTATAGAATATTATTTTACGTATTATTCCTATTATTATGCACGTAATAATGTTTTATTTTTATCATTTATTATTTATTATTTTTATTAATATGTTACGTATTTATTTTCGTTTTGTATGTTTTATATTATTTTTATTCTATATGTTTATTTATTATTTAATTATTTATTTACTATACTATAGATAAAACTATGAATAGTGACTACTCTTAATATATTTTTATTATTTTTTTTTTAATTAATTAATTTATCTTGGTGAAGGTGGTGGAGTGAAGGGTGTCTCTTCATAATTTCGTACGTAGTCATTTCTATTGGGTGTCCTATATCTAACTATTCTGCCGGGTAATTCCATGACTTCTGTGGTCCTAATATACTTGCATTTTATCATTATATAAATTGCTATTATTAGTATAATAGATATTACTGCCAGTACTATTGTAGCAAATTACTGTGTACAAATTGATGCTTTTGATTTTGATCTCTTAAAAGTTCTTGGTTAATCATTTGTTGTACTTCGTCTAAAGATTTGGATGCATCGTGTAAATCTGTGAATTGCATAGCTGGTCCTTTTTCCCATTTTTCATCTGTTTCGAATTTGTGTATATGTTCGGGTATTTTTTCTAAAATATTATTCATGTTAGTTACAGGTGTAAAGTCTTTATATTTTGTAATTTGGATTTCTTCCGTGGCAGTTAATACTTTTTTTTTTTACTGATAATTCGTTCCTGTTCTAAAATTATATTGCTTGGCAATTTCTGATACTATATTGTATTTTTTTGTGAATCTATTAGTGTACCTATAGTTTCTTTTACATTAATATTTGTGATAATTTGTGTTCCTAACTTTTCGATATATTGTTCGTATGATTTGTTTTTTATTTCCTGAATTGAATATCTGCGTGTAAGAGTATCTACATTTGAATTTAGAACTCCGGGTTTGTGACGTATTTGTAATCGATTTGTGTTAGCGGCGAATGAATTAAATGTTATATGATTATTTTCTAAGGTTGAGAATATGTGGAATATTCGTGAGTTGGTTGTTCCGCGATAATCTGGTTTATCGTACGAGTACCGCGCTTTTGTTCGACACGTTTTCGTTTTCCGAATTATTAACGTTCCTACTCTCATCGTTTCTCTTTTTATAACACAAGTCGATATTATGACCAGTTCGATTACAGTATGAACACGTAACTACCTGTATATTATAATTCGTAGGTGGTTGCGTAAAATTATTCCTATCAGGTGGACGGTTGTTATTGCCATTGCTCGCATAACTAGGTCTCGTATTATTTCTACATTGAGATGCATAATGATTACCATTACAATTATAGCATTTTATTGCTTTCCTATTGATTGGTTGAGAAAAATTGTTTGCTCGCGGATAATTATTTGTCCTTACAGGGTTATTTGGTCTAATGTTTTCGTTGTTCCTATTTTCGTAATTCGATCTGCGCTGGTTATAATTTTGTGAATGAATATTCGAATAATGGTTCCTATTTTCCTGTTCTAATCTTAGTTCCACCTGTTCCGACATAGCAAGTTGTTTCGCGATCTCCAAGGTTTTGGGATTACGAGATTTTACTATTGTTCTAATCGGTTCTACTAATCCTTTAATAAAAATCGCTAGTTTGTTCCCTTAATATATCATATATAATTTTTGCTTCTGCAGCTTCTTTGCCTAATGTACTTACGGTACATAACTGATTATATAGTTTCTCTACTCTATGACAATAATCATTTGCATCCTCATTGTGATACATTCTAATCGAATTTAATTGAAGTTGTAACGACGATGCCGTGGTTGTTACCTCAAATGCATCTGTTAAATAATTTTTTATAAACTGCCATTTCGATACATTTTTGTATTTAATCATTTCTAATGCTCTACCCGTTAAACGTGTGGTAATATATTTTACTAGCGTTGGTGCACTGTTTGTGTCGACTAAACTTACTGCCATATCGCATGCATTTATGAATTGATAGATATCGTCTATTCCTGTGCATAGTGGAATTAATTTAAAAGCGTCTTCTAATTGTATGGTTACTGCCATTTTTTAATGCGTGGTTTAGATATAGAATCTAACGACTGATGTTAAAAACTATCTGTAACTTGGCTACGTGTGACTACTCCTTTTCCTACTTGTAGACTTGGGGTTTTACTTGTGCTACCTACTAATTGGGTATCTACTATAATATTCAACTGGGCTTTCTGTTGCGCTTCAAACTGAGCTTGGGCTTCTCTCTGGGCTAATAACTGGGCTTCTAACTGGGCTTCTTCTATTACACTAGTGTCATACAATGAATTAATTACTTTCAAGGGAGATGTACCTTCTTTGTCCATAAATTACTTAGCTACCTATTTAATACGTTAATACTCATAATAATAATAATTCAACAATGCCCTATAAATACAATAATAACTTCAATAATATGCCCTTTAATAAATTCAATAAACTTCAATAATACTTCAATAATAAAAATGCCCTCAATAAATCAATAAACTTCAATAATAATCAATAATAACTTCAATAAAACATGCCCTCAATAATAAACTTCAATAATCAATAAATATGCCCTCAATAAATTCAATAAAACTTCAATAATAATCAATAAAATATGCCCTCAATAAAATTTTAAAACGTTTTACACCATTATACTTATAGTCAACTACTTAGAATTATCTAATATGTCCTAATTATGTTGCATACGTCTATGTAACAAATTTAAATAATTATTCACTCACAATAATGCTGTGTTCCTGGTTGCTGATGACATGCTGATGGATTTGTTGGTACCGCGACGTGACTTATTTGTTTTTGACGGTTCTTCTTGGAGTTGTCTTCTCGGAAGAGTGTACAGTTCTTCTTTGTTGACGGTAGCCTTTGATGGTTGCCTCCCTTTGTAGAATCCAATACCGACTGCGCCAGTGTTACATGCGGCCCTTCAGGGATCCAAAGGCTGTCGTACTTTTACAATAAAATATAGTCAATTTAAAATATGAATCAATTGTACTTTATTAAAACCAATAATAAATAATGTACTTGTGGTGAATTGCAGCGTCGTGAGTTGACTCGTTGTAGTAGTCGATAATCTCCATGTAAGTCGTGTGTAATGGCTGGTGGTTAAGCGGCTCGCTCGGTCTTGGCGGCTCTGGTACATCTAATTAGTATTGGAGCACTAGCCTCTATATATACGAATATACGAAGGCGACGCCCTTTGAATTGAGCGGCGCGTGGCATGTAGGCGCCCTTGGGAAGTTGTTGTGATCCGAAGCGTCTATTCTAGCTATGACCACTTTTGGGTGCGGTCGACGAGGCCGCTTTCTACATAAGTAGTACTTGTTATTGTGAGCGTTGTACATGAATTGCGTAATCCCATTACAGTATGTATACTTAGGAACGTACATATTAGGAATATTTTAAATTATAATTTATATTGTATTATTATTTATTAATGCATATTTAAGCTATTTTCAAAAATATTATGCATAGTATTTAATTAATAATATTTCATAATTAAAAAAATATATATTCATATTAAACAAACTTATTAATATTTGTAATCATGAACTAAGAAGATCTTCTTAGTTCATGTTTATACTATAATATTTTAATTTGAAAATGTATCCATGTCTACTTGTAATGTCTTAAGGTGACCTATTTATGTGCTTAGGTTAACTTAAAAAATTGAATATGTTATTTATATAGTAAAAATGTAAAGTATATTTTATTAATAAAATTACAATTAAGTGTTGACTAGTTTTGACAATTTTTTTTTCTTAGAACTCAATTTGTTTTGCTCTCTATTTTGAAAAACTGAATACCGCCGCATACGCATTGTAATGTAATATGTAATTATATCAGACATAACATCTGTTTTATGCAGGGAGCATGAAAACCAAAACTGTTTATTATTTTCAGTTATGTGGTTGACAATTAATTCAAAAACGTCAGAATATTTACAGTACTGGTTAAATAGATCTTCTATATACCTAATAAACTCAAATAAACTATGGTAAGGATGTAATAACCAGCCTTTGGATTTTATGTTTGTTAATGCAGCTACAGGATTTGCAGATGCTTCTGTTGAACTATTGAAATATGTTGTACATTCTTCACACTTATAACGTTTAGCTAGTTTCCTAGTTATATAGCCACAAACATAATAGATCACACAATCTACGGCTGAAGCTTTGTAATAATTGTGATCATCAAACACTGAATCGATTTCAATGTTTCCTTTCTCAATACATGTATCAAGTAATTCCTTTAATTCTTTAATTTTTTTTGATCTTTCAGAAGCATCTGTAAATTAAAAAAATATTTTTGTTACTTTTATTCAGTTAAATTTATTATAAATAGAAAAATGAGAAATTAATAAATAACCATTATTTTCATATATTGTTTTTATATCCATCATAGTAATTTTCGGTACATCTGTGTTAAGCAATTCACAATTTCCGGTTATAGGAGGTTTAAGTATTAAATAAACTGAAAGAATTTTGTATATTTGTATAAATGTTGGTGTGGAAGGATGGAGGATTAGGACCTAAAGTTTGACGAACTGTTCCAAAAAATAACTAAAGGAAATTAAATGATAATAAATATTATGAGTATATAATTATATACTATATTATTTGTTTATTCTTACTTCGAGTGAGTCTTGATTCATTTTATTGGTTAGTACATAACTGAACCCACATTTATTTAATAGATATTTTGTCAAATCAATTGTAGACTTCAGAGTCACTCTTAAGCCATCAGCAGTGTTGGTGGTTAAAAAGTGACCTTTGGAAATTATACCATTTTTGATATTTTGTTCCCAAGCATCAATAAAATTAATTGTATTCTGTAAAACCTAAAATTAAAACCGTTTATACAATTAAAACTTAAATTACTAAAATACTTAATTAAATTACAATAATAAATTACATAAAGATAATTTACTATTAGGTCATTGCTATTTTTCCGTACTCCCGCTTTTGGATATTTTCTGTTCAATGCATCGAAACAGTTGTTAAACAGCCTTGTAAACTCTTCTGTTTCTTCACTCCCATTAAGTCCTGCACATTGACTTTCTCTATAAAACTTAATTCCATCAGCCATAGATTGACTTAATACCTTAAAATCATACATCATAATCAGGTTCTAAATAAAATAACTAAAGGTATACCTGTGTGGCCAGCTTAACACTCATTTTAGCCAAATTGTCCAAAAATAAATGTCTCTTTGTTATTTTTGGACAAATTCTAAGAACATTAGTGGAATCTCTGTTGAAAACTTCCACAAAATGAAACCAACTAATACACTTTTTATCAGGAGATACCTAATATTTTGATGCAATATTAAGGACATGTTTTATTCACAGGAAAAATATTAGACCACGTTTGAGAAATTATACAAATATTCTAGCTTACCTTCAAATACTTTTTGTTGTATATTCTATTGCGAACTGTTTTCATAAGATGGGGCGCATCTGAGAACATGAAAATATTTCTGTTCTTGTCCAATGGATGAGTAAAGTAGTTTTTAACATTTTCAAATTCACCACTTACACCAAACTCTTTCCAAACTTTCCGATTACTAGAAGCACCATCAGAGACAACTCCATCTACTTTTGCTCCAATGTTTTCAAGAAGTACGATAGATTTCAAAATTAGCTGAGCTAGAATTTTACCTAACGATAAAATAGAATATATTATATAATTTTTTTAATTTAATATTACTTCCGGTAAAAATTATTTGCTGAAATGTTTTCTTTAAATATTAACTACAAGACGTGTTTATGTATTATAAAACAATATTTACCTGGAACAGGAAATTTAGATGCAAACATGGCTATGGGTTGAGAATAACTCGAAGCCAGGCTCCTAAATAAGAAGACTAGCCCATGGTCAGCCTTTTCTCCGTATCTTTCACTTTTAATCCCGTCTCCCAAATCTTCAAATCCAATATAGGTTAATTTATTTGTGTTCACAGACAAACTTTCCCTCAAAAAAATTTCGTCGAATACAAGAATACCATGTCGTTCTTCAGTTCGAAGTAAATCAAATTTTTTTTCAATAATTGGAAAAACTTATCATCAAATCCACACGTGGTATTCATTAATGAAAGATATATTTTTATTGTCTTAGGTGATGGCAATGGTAGAAATTGTTGCTTCCTTAGAAACTTATACTCTTTTAGAGATCTAAACAAGTATTTGACAGTTCAATTAATTAATACATTTTATGTTGATCCGATAAATTACCTTATATGAAGGAGAATACAGAGCAAAATCCAATAGTCTGAATATCTTCTATGAGTCAGATTTGAAGCTGTACTGGTCGATATAATTTCTTGAATTAGTGTACGCCGAGGTTCATTTAAATTTGACTCTTGTAATATATTTTGGATAGAAGCATCAGTTAACATTTTCATTGCCTCATTTTTTTTACTTAGCTCAGATACTAAATTATTAATAATATTTTGTTTCCTACAAATAAAATAAAAATGTTGATAAACATTATACTGATCAAATAAAATATTATTACATATATAAAAAATTAACCTGAGATTAGATTTCTGAACACTATGCTTTGATTTCACCATTTGTTGCAACCTTGAAGCATGGGTTGGTGTAAGTGTTGGTCCAATATACTTTTTTGTCCACTACCAAGGCGCTGTTTATTAACTCTGTATAACGAAAACAGTTTTTTGCACCAATTACATTTTTGGCTGTTTCCAGAAGTTAACATTGGACATTTAACATGGCGCCAAACATTAGTTATATCCAAATTTGTATGTTTCACAATAACTCCTAAATGTGTTGAAAAACTAGAGAATATATCCTCATTGAAAATTTAAGCATGTGGTAAATTATTTAATTATGTATTATAAAAAATATTTTGTTATATTTTCATAATTAAATTAAATAATTTAAATAATAATAAACAAAATTCAATTTCTTTGTACCTTTAAAATTATCTGGACTAGGACCACCATTGCATGTTTGAGTTACATTTAAGCCACACAAAGTTTCTTCAATCAATTGTGAAGAAAAAGAAAAACAAATGTTTATCATTTCAAAATCATCCAACTGCACAGGGCAATTTAAACGTACATGTCCCCAACCCCACCCATTCTGAAATTTGAAATTTTTTTCAAGTCAACATTTAGCAGTCAATTAGCAACAATTTGCAAGACTGGTTTCACAATTTGCAAGCCATTAGCAAAACCATAAAACAAAAAAATGTATGGGTGGGGCTGGAGACATGTGTCTCCAGCCCCACCCATCTCATCGAAAACACATTTTTTAATTTTTCTTGAACCGTCATTTAGCAGCCAATTAGCAACGATTTGCAAGGTAGTTGTCGAAATTTGCAAACCAATATTTCGTCTGTTATAAGCATTTCCGAAATTTGCACATGTCCCCAGCCCCACCCCGTACCGATATAATGCGATTTTCGAGTTGCGATTCATGTCAACATTTAGCAGTCAATTAGCAACGATTTGCAAGGTAGTTGTCGAAATTTGCAAACCAATATTTCGTCTGTTATAAGCATTTCCGAAATTTGCACATGTCAACAGCCCCACCCCATACCGATATAATGCGATTTTCGAGTTGCGATTCATGTCAACATTTAGCAGCCAATTAGCAACGATTTGCAAGGTAGTTGTCGAATATACTAGATAATACGCTTAGATCGTTATTTTTTTTACTTCCTGTTGGTTTAAATTATAAATATTATTAAGAGTCTATCTATAAATCAATTAAGATTTAATAAACGTTTTCATGATTATATTATTCAGACAACCTTGTTTTTTTGTATTGTATGTAGATATACAAATCAAATAATATTTCATTTCTTTATCTAAATACGTATGTCGTATATATTTTTAAGTTACCTATACGTTTATTATAAATTTATAACCATAATAATTATTTATTAATGTCGTACTCGTACACTACCGTATAAATAGGCCTTGTGTGTAATCAAATGTTATTTTGGTAAATGTTGTTTCTCTTACTGATTCTAAAAATAAAATATTGGCATAAACGGACTAGACATTAATAACTGCTATACCTATATATATATTACTGTTATCAATATTAATTATATATCGATGTTTGTAGAATAATCATTTTGTTGAAACAATCGCTTTAGAGTTATCAGTGATGTTTTCGATTTTTTGTAAACAATTATTTAGGAATTGTCACTTGTGATTAATTCGTTTTCGTCCGTTTTAATTCCGTTTTAAGTCCGTTTTAATTCCGTTCAGTGATTACAAGAAAATTTTTTTCTTGCTATTATATTTTAATTTTAATTATCTGTGCGGTGTGCATATTTTGTGCAACATGAAAGGACGAAAGCCAGCTATTCCTCCTCATGTTGTTGTAGAAACAGTGCTCCAGTTCAAAGACAGAGTCGTCATTACCGACAATGGTGAAAAAAGTAAGTGAAAAGTATTATTTTAAATAATTTAATTTACTATACTCGTACGTACGACATACCTCACTAGTAATTAATTTTGTTTTCCTATTTGGTCTGTCTTTTTTTTTTAATTAATTAATTAAAATCAAACGTAGTAGCGCAAATAAGAAACCAAAATATTATGTACAAATTTACTAAACAAAATATATGAATATTGATTACCCATTGGCTGTTACTTGTTATATAGTTTATATATTATTTGACATCAGACCGTACGTAGGGAGAGCTCATCGAAAATAATAAATATTTGTGTGTGTAGTGTACACTGTACAGTGTTGTACACTATTTGAAATAAATTGAATTTATTTTTGTATTTGAAGATTATTTCAAATACTTTATAATAGATAGTATTTGGATGGTATTTTAAATACTAAATAAAAGTATTTTTTACAACACTGTATACGTATTAGTGTGTGTCAAGCAATTGTGTCTTTTTAATTTACGCCACACTGAGATATTGTCGCCTTACAGGTCCAAACGGGTTTTATCGCCTCGGTGTTTCTAACGAATCTAGACGGAATTGTCTATTTATATGAATTTATTTATAAATTTGTAAATATTATTTCGGTTTAATATTGATAAATATTGATTAAACTGAACAAATCTAAATAGAAATAAAAAAAAAAATCTTGATTAATAAAAAAATGTTAGATAAAAAAAATTTAATTAATTAAAGAATCTGTACTTAATTAAAACTCTGTTTGATAAAAAATTCTATATTTAATCAAAAGGTACACTAAATAATAAAATCTTGATTAAATTAATAAGTCGTTTTATTTAATTTACATTTTAATGAAATATAGATTTTTTATTAGGTTTTTTATGTTACTTGTATTTTTATATTAAATATCAATTTTTATTTAATATAGATTTTATTATAAAATATAGATTATTCAATGAACATAGATTCTTTATTAAGTTTTTATTATTTCTATTTCTATTT